CTTGTGGTACAACCCCCCAAGCTCCCTCATGTTCCATTTTTGGGTACAAAGGGGTTTTAACCCACTGCCATCTGTTGTGGTCTCAAACCGCATTGCTTTACTATACCTGTAGTTTACAATTGGAAAAAAAACAACAACAAAAGAGTTTCTACTTGCACACTAGGAACTTAATCGTTTGGGATAAGTAGGAAGGGCAGCAGCAATGGATTGGGAAAGCCAATGTGATGGGCAGCTTAAGGGAGAAAGGCGTTCAAAAAAATGGAGGAGTAATCAGCTAGACAAAAAAAATCAGCCATAAAATGGAGGGGATGGAGTTGCAGAAAGCACACACACACAGGTGCACAACTCTACATGCTTCAAAAAAGGAGGGGACTGCGCTCAGTGTTTGGCAAATAGATATGAACTTTGTATGGCTACCCACCTCATCACAGCAACTCAAAGTGGCTAACAACATATAAAATCACAGGACAGGACAGGACAGGACAGGACAGGACAGGACAGGACAGGAAAATCCTGTAATACCAGCTAAAAACCAGTCTACAATAAATCACAGCAACAACCTCACAGGCTCCAAATGAAATAAACAAAGTTGCTTCTGGATCTGCAATTGTAGGCATTTTGAAGCTTGAAATGGCACTATGCAAGATGGTGGGCAGACTTCAGTCCTTTGGGATACATGTTTTTTTTAACTAGAAAATTAATTGGACTCAAGTGTAAGATATGCCTTAAACACAGAAACTAGTAGCTATTTGGAACAGAGTTCTTCTGAACATATGACTCATGATAGTACCTTGATTTCAACAGCTAGATTGACTTTACAGATCTTTCTGATAATAGTGCACTCCTAGTTACTCATATCATCTGTCAAGTTTAGATGTGAGGAGACCTTTTATTGTTGGACTTTTGCAAATCTGTTACAACACACCAGGTGATCTAACAGGAAATCTCAATCTCCTTTCTACTCTGCCCATAAATAAAACAAACTAGGTAAGAACAGAGCAATCCTTACACAAGAAGCAATATCATGTTGTATGACTCACAAGTATACAAGATCAGTTCAGAGAAGGGGAGAAATGCAGTCACGGTACAGTACACTAACTGCTGCAGCACTAAAGAAAAAAATTACACCTTCCAGAAAGAGCTGAAATACTCCTTTTTAGAACAGATCAAACGTAAGAAAACCAAAGTTTTCCATTATTTGAATCTTATTTAACACATCAATATTATGGAAGGTAAAGAGAACCCTAAAGATTCGTTGTTTGCATTTTCTAGCAGCCAAAAAAGTATTTGTATTTCTACTCTACCAACAAATGAAATATATAATTCTTCAGCTGATTCTATATTACAATATTATATGAATCTTTTGTGGGGAGGTCCTTTTGAGTCTGTGTTGACTCCTGGCAACTACCTGGACTAATCCCTGCAGTTTTCTTGGCAAGATTTTCAGAAAGGGTTTGCCATTGCTTTCTTCCTAGGGTTGAAAAAGAATGTCTGGCTGAAGGTCACCTAGCAGGTAGGATTAGAACTCACGGTCTTCCGTTTCCTAGCCTGATGCCTTGACCCCTACACCAAACTGGTTCTCCATATGAACCTTACCAGACATCAATAAACTTCATACTTACACCTCATAATCATCAGTTCAAATTTCCAGTCCAGAACACTTTACACAACATCCATGTAATCAATTCCCAAATCTCTATCATAAGTACCTTATAATAAGTTCCATATCTTTTATATAAAAGATAATTGAGGCTAACAGAGAAAGCATTGCATATGTTGCTTCACATTTGTTGGAGAAGAGCTGGTTACAAATTTGGTAAATAATCCTAGAATATAGCTCTATACTGTAGAATTATCACACAGCTACACCCAATCAGAAATATATATATATTTTAAAAAGTTATGCTCTATTTAGACTTTTATTCAACCACAGAAAATCTCCATTACAGCATCAATAACTATGACTACCTTTCTTTGTTGTAATCCTTACAACAGCCTTATGAAATGGAGTTTGAGTCAGTGATTTAACAAATGACACCCTGAAGGTTACTTGGAACAGTGATCTTTCAATCAGAAACTTCTTGAATTCAGTCCCTAAACTTCACACAGCACTATCCAAAAGTATGAGCAATGACAGAAAAAGAATAAGTTATCACTGACTAGACTGATGGTGGCAAGAGAAATCTCTCTAAGCAGAACACTAAAACAGCAAATGCCACCACACTGCATTAGTAATGAAGCAAACAGTGCTCTAGAAATAATCTTTTCATACACAGTCGTTTAAGAATATGGATACATTCTCTTCCATTCCTGCTCTCCTCTCACTTGAGCACTTCAAACATCTTAGTGGTCTGATCACAACTATTAAAACAGGAAGCATTAGTTTAGTATTAGAATCTGACCTCCTCATATCACACAGCTCCAAACTGACCTGTGTTCTGAACTGCCTATTATTAAACTAGAAGATATGAACATGATATACCAGGTATGCTCATTATGACCTTCAAAGCTCATATCCAAGTGTGAACAACGAGGCATCCTGCTGTTTTGGATTGCAACTCCCATAATTCTGGATCACCAGTCATGCTGGCAGGGTTTAGTGAGGGTTCAAATCCACAACACCTGATGAGTATCAGGTTGCTTGCCTCTATCACATTTTAAAGGCATTTCAAAGCAAGTAATTTTTAAATGGCTGTGGAGAGATCTATTTCATTCAGATTACTCTTTCTAGAAAATGCTGCCCATGACTGGCAGTTTTATTACTAAATTTTGGGAGATGCTTTGAGCTAAGGCCACATGGATATAACCTATCCCTGTTTTACAGTATGCATTTATTACACCGTATACCAATATATCCAGATCTACAGTTACAGATACACTGATAGACAGAGATACAGATACAGGGTAAATAGCTACTGGGTCTACAGATTTTTATCTTGTTTTCTTGCATTGCCATTTCAGAATATGTTTTCACAATATGGAAAATATTACTGCTGCTTAAGGAAACCTGACAAATGTTAATTAAAATCATATTCTACAAGTAACAATCTGTTTAAGATTCTGAAACAGAAAAAAACCTTCAATTTGGTCAAAATAATTTTGAATTATGCATATTCAAACAGAGTATTACTGTATTTCTTGATCTTCACATGAATACCATAATTAGAAATCCAAGTATAGAATACAAAAGTGGTTAAAAACTGGGAGAACTTCCTTATGTTTTTGCTGGCAATTAAAAAACTATGACAGTTTTTAATAGTATTTTTAAGCCTGGAAACAATCCATTTCAAGGATTACTGCAAGTTAATAAACTGCAAATGGTTTATGAGAAATCATGCTTCTCAAAAATATGACTGAATATTTAGTATCACAGCAGAAGAATGTAAAAATCATATATTCTGATTAATTTTCATTTTAACACCACTTCTGGCAAAGGACTAAAAACTACACCCAATTAGTTACAGTTATATAAAATAACAATCCCATAAAAATATTATTTTTTCTTAATACCAAAATGCTTTTGTTGCAGAGATAATTTTGTGACAGAAAATATGTTTGAGGCTATAAACACAATTAAATCTTACTCAAAAAATCATTATATTTTATTTTAAACCAGATTTAAAATTTCCTCCCAGCTATATTAAATTCATTCAAATATCAATTTCACAGCATGACTCTGCTTCAATACCCCAGTGTCCATATAAAAAAGATGGGTAGGCACTGCAGAAATAAGATTCATGAACCCAGTTTTGTTAATAGGACCATGATTACCTTCAAATGACAACAGCAACTTTCTCAGCTTAGTCTATAATCATTTCTATAAAAACGTGACTGTATAGTTATAGAGGAAAATTAGACTATCTCAATGATTTAGACAACTAGTGGTGTGCATCCTGCACTCTTGCTGTACCATGACCACAGAACATATATTTGTAGAGGAGGTCATCATAAGGTATTGCTAATATCCTCTAACAACCAATTACTGTGAAAATAGAGTACCCGCTGGGTTTAGCCATACTACAAATAACAACTGAAACAATAGGAATTTTTCTCACAAATTATCTAGGTAAGACTTTTTCTCAGAAAAACAGAACACTCTAGAGGTCAGTACACCAGAATCACTGGATAGTGCTACTCCTGGATGTGATGTGTAGTCCATCCCCCCGCCATCACATTCCGGACACAAGAAGAAGGAGTACCAGAGCAGCCTATTCAGAAAAGAAAGAGCAAGGACAAGAGAACAAAGAAAGGGAAAGAGTTGGAAAGTTGGAAGGCCTTCTTTGGCCTTCTCAGGAGCAAGACACATCTTACAGGTGACCTTATTCCCCACATATCCCCCTCAGATACTCTGGCTGGCAAGCCTCTTGTCTCACAGGTCATACCGAACCAGCTCCAAACTCACTGGAGCAAGATTGGAGGGAAGGGAACACTCACCTGCTGGGGATGGGTGAGGCCCACTCACAATGGGAGAAAGAAGATGGCACTCACACAGCCTCGGTCCGCTTCTCTCTAGCACCAGACCCACTATGGTGAGATCAAGACGGATGGATTAAAGGCAACAGGCAATACCACAAATGCTTCCTAACAGATGTGTCCTGCCAACTGCAGTGTGCTTTATTTGGTTTTGGACTTTGCTCAGTCTCCACCTTCTTTTGTTCATACAGATTTTGTTCTATAATGAATGAAGAAATGTGTGCAAACAAATGAACGCCAGTTTTCTGTAAAACTCAGGGAGGAGTGCATTAAACTGGCCATTTTATAGCAGTTTAATTACATCACATAACTAAATAGTAGGGAAAAGTTATGAGAGAAGTCACTGATAACTTAGTGAAAAAAGTTTACTTAGTATGCTGCTGCAATGAAAAAAAACACTCTTGATCATTAGAAAGAGGACTGAAAGTCATTTCAGTAGGTAACACATAAATGGTAGTAATAAATAAAAATAATATATAATTGCAAAATAAAAGTCCTTATACAAATCTGTGATGTGCCACACTTCGAATCCTATGTACAGTCTAGAATCTGTGCACAGCTCCATCTCAGAAAAGGGTATTATAAATTTGGAAAAGGTGTAGGAAAAGGAAGCCAAAATAATCTTAGGGCTAGAGCAAATCACTCTATTAAAAAAAAATTACCAATTCATGCATTCACAAAATAAACTGAGCTATACTGATACAAACTGTTCTTTCTGACTTCACAATTCACACTAAGCCCTAATGCTGTTTGTCTGATTATGGCTTAGTATGAATTGTGTAGTCAGCAAGAACACTTTGTATCATTATGGCCTGGTTTTGTTTGTGAATCAGGCCATTGTGGCTTTTCAACAAACCAAGGATTAAATAAACCATAGTTGAGCACTCTGAAGTAAATAAAAAAGAAACAATAGAGATATATAACTTTATAAAAGTGGATAGCAAGTTTTCTTCCTCTGTTGCTTCTCAGTCTCTTGGCTAATGTCAACTCTAATATCTTCCTCTCTAGCACCCGAGATCATTCATTGCAATTAAATTCTGGAAGATGCATTCACAGAATAGTGGAATTTTTTTTCATAGAAAGTAGAGAAAAGTAGAGAACATGGAAAACTAAGAATCATGTACGCAATTCTTACCTCATGTAACTTCCAGAATCTTCAATCCAGACTGCCTTCTGAATTGCTTTGCAAAGTGTCCCAGCAAATAGAAAGCTGGGATAACAGAGTCAGGATCAAAAGGAATGTCCATGTGGGAACTATTAATAATTATTTCCATGGGTTTTCTTTCATTTTTTTATAGTCTCTACTACTCTTAGTATGAAAGTAGGCATGGCAAGTCACACCATGGTGCTTTCTGGATATGTTTAGCTACAGTTCTCATAATTTCAAATTAGCATGACTTTACAAACTGCCCCCTTCCACACTTGTTTTTAGGCTTTCTGAAAGTATGATTGTCAGGAAATGGGGCTTTTCAAGGGCATCAGGGAAAGGGAATCAGACATCACATTTCCTAATTTGAGATCAGAGGTCTTCCTCCAATGTCAGAGGAAGACTACCAAAATTTCCATTACCTTTGTTCCATCTATTTTCATCTCCCAGTGCTTTGTTTTCCTGTGTACTGTAGCCACAGAAAGCATATGTCTAATTTATTCACTTCCTTTTAGCACAAGTGTGTGTTTAGATTGCCACTATCTACAACAAAAAGAGGAAACAGGGAATAAATGCAAACAGTTCCTGAACAGATCATTTTTTTCCATTCGTCTTTCATGTACACGAACAGAATGCTGAGGTGGAATTACAGCTCACTGGATAAATGTTATACTTTATGCGAAGGAGAACATTTTCTAAGGAAATGTGGCCTTGGGAAGCTTCAGATTTTAAATACTGTGATTCGAAATGGAAGAAAAAAGATGCTTGGCACTGAACACAATATTCAGCATAGGCTTTGACCAATGCAAGAATACATGGATAGACTGTTTTCATCTGGCAACTATTATTTGGAAGAATGGTGTTGCTTCAGAGCATCCCATACTGACAAATTAATTCCACGAGGCAGCTGCAGAATACAAATTCAGCTTGGTCAATTAACTGCCCGTTTCTCTGCTGCAGCACAGGATTTGAAGCACATTTAGCTTCCTCGGGGAAGTTCCAAAAAGAAGTTATACCACAGTTATAACACTTCCTCAGGTGATACGGGGGCCAGGGTCAGATATAACATCAGCCCTTCCTTCTGAAACCTATGCTTCTAATATGTTGATTACATGCCGTCAAGTGGGTGTCACCTCTTAGCAATGACACAGATTTTTTATAGGATCCAATATGTTAATATTGCTATATCAGTATACATATTAATATGTAATACATTTAATTGTAACACTTGAGAAATTGGGGAAGCTTTCAGTTTGTACCCTGAGTATCTATGGATGAGAAAGTAGGGAAGCAAAGGACAGAATATCACAAAAATGCTGCAACTTATGTACGCATGCCACACAACAGAAGTATATAATGGTGGCATTTATGTGATTATATGCAGATGGTGCTAGATTGTGAAAATATAACTCAAAAAATATGCTGAGTCTGCAGATGTTGGGGATGACACTCCTCAGCTCCAGATTTTCCACAATTATTTTTTGGACGTGATAAAGGGAAATGAGTTTGAGTTAAATAAAAGATACTTGAATAAGAATAAACTGGTTCCCACCCCAATTAACTTCTCCATAGTTAAAATGAATGAATCATTTCTTATTTTAAAAGTTAATTCTTCCACTTATAATAAATTGAATTTCTCTCTCCCACCCCCTGTAAAATAAAATTATTTACCATAATCAGTGAAATGAAATTGATTTGCCACCCCAGCTGTAGCTTTTCTCTATAGCTCTTGCTTTAGAAACTGTCTGGATGAAAATGTCCTGAGTTTGGACACAGTGGCTGAAGTCAGAAAGAGTAAAATTTCCTTTTATTGCACTTTACAAATGACCAAAGGAAAAATAGTCAGGTTGGGGAAAAGAAGTCAGAAGAAATGGTAGAGGAGAAGCTTAGCTGGGCAGGCTATGCTGTCAGGTCCTAATTTCAGGAAGTCCTGAAGGCCTTCAAAGCAGAGCCTCTATACAACTTCCATATAGCAGGGGTTGGCATCATGACCCCTGCAAGCATCGGAATGAAGTTGTCATCATCATCATCACCACAATTACTAACCCTTGCATGACTGATTCATATGGGAGTAAGCTTTTAAGATAAAAGCTAGATAAACATTCCTGCAGTTCTTTCATCACCAGAAGTTGATCTGCCCTGGCTTTGAACCCTGTTCTGCCTTGGTGATAAGGTTGGCAACTGTTGTTGGCCCCACAGATTTAATTAGGTTAAGGAAAGCAATTTGTGGGTTTCCCTGGTTCAAGCATTACCCATCAAAGGGGGGAAAAACATATACCAGTTGGTCTCACTAACTTGATCTGGGGCTGAGATGGGTTTTGATCCATGGCTAGATCTCATGAGTTTAGCCACATGTGAAAACCTGGTACTAAACAACTGATCCATGGGATGGTTGGGGTTTTTTTTGGTAATGGAAGGGAAGTTCTCCTCTCCTTCTTTACCAGGGAAGCTCCATCCATCCTACAGATGAATCATGGGGTTGTAGAGGCTGCTCAGTCCCTGTCAGCCAACTCAAACAGGTGCTTACAGAGACTAACACAGAAAATCCCACTTCAGCTCATGTCCCCCCAACGCCTGCCAGTTTTTTGTTTTTTGGTGAGGGGGTTGATAGGGGGAGAGGGGATACTTCTAAACACCTATCTGACATTCTTCCTATGTTTAAGAAAGTCTCTAAAGATATTTGATGGTGGGAGGAGAATACAGTTGCTTAGTGCACTGTGGGAGCTCTATTCCACTTGAAATCTTCAGTCCCCTGGATCTGCTAGGGGGAGTTGTTTTTGGAATTATTCTGAAATAGTTTCAAAAAATACAGCTTGTATGAAAGTGCACTAAACCTGTGCTTAAAAATAGCCAAAAAAGAACTGACATGGGGGGGGGGGAACCTGTGGTGAAGCAGGATCTTTTCCATTTCACCATGGTACCCACTCACCCCCATTCTATCAGCTGTTATTTATCTTCTTCTTAAACTAAATACATGTTTAAAACCCATGTTTAAAAGTAGCCTTTCCACCTCTCTTGTTACCCTATCCCTGGAAATCATCTGATGAGGCTGGAAGGGATGCCAAGAGAAGTGAAAAAAGCTCCAATCCCTTGAAGCTGATCCTAGCAAGTGTACAGGAAGAGCCCAGATTGAAAATATATCATATCAGAACAGTAAGAGTTTCTTGGATATATGCCCTCCTAATTACAGTGGGCATATTTTCATGACGTGGTTAGCTTAGTCTCATGTTATTCATATACAAGTGATTTATCCAGTAATCTGCTGTAGGGCAATCAAAGAAACTGAAAGCAAATCTTTCTGCCACAGAAGCAGCTATCTTCACTGTTATTCCAGCCACCTTTGCAACCATTTTCTTTAAAAAAAAAAAAACAAGGGAAAAATAACTCAGAGCCACTACAGATGAGTTTTGAAAGAAAAAGTTAGAAAAGGGTGGTGCATCTCAAGTAGCACCATTCTGCAGATGTTTTAATCTCCCATCTCTTTCCTGAATGCCAGAAAAGAGGGTTATTTTCAAAGAAACCCTGTCTTCCAGGTTCAGAAATTGGAAAACGTGATTCAGGTAAATTACTCTATGACTAACCTTGAACGCAAAGTGTAATTAAGTGCTCCACCTTGATAACATTTTGTCCTAAGGCTTGGTTGAATGATGTATTAGATCTTTAAATAATCTGTTACATGGACATACCCAGTATACCGTACCTTTTGCATAGATATGTAGAGGATTAGGCTCTATGACTTAATTGACAGATAAAGCTATAAAAGCAACAGGCATTTTAGCGGTTGATTGCTGTTTTCTGCCCTTTGTATACCTCAGCAGATTTTTTAAAGATAAATAATTAAAATGAAGTAATTGTCACAGAAAAATCAGTACCAATACAGATGCTTTAACTTATTCCTAGGAAACAATAACCTCTTGGTATTTCATTAACAGGGGGATGTGGTGCCGCAGCAGCTTAATGACGCTGGAAGTTGCCAGCCAGAAATGGTCGACACTTCAGTGGTTTGAACCCAGCTCCATGCAGCAGAGTGAGCTCCTGTCTCATCCCTAGCTTCTAAGGCCAACCCAGCAGCTCGAAAGCATCTGCGAGCAGATAAATGGGTACTCTCACCCCGGTGGGAGGAAAAATGCTGGCGGCGCCTTGCACGGGAGACGGGACCAGTTGCCGGTAACGTGGAAGTCGTGTACATCCGAAAAAGACGTGAAGCAACAGAAACCCCGCCTTCCTGCGCCCACCAGCTGGGCTCTGCTCTAGGAAGGAGGCAATGGCAAACTACTTCCTAAACACCTTGCCATGAAAACTGCAGGGACTCGTCCAGAGAGTCACTGCAGAATCAGTCACGATTGAGTGCGGCTAAAAAAAAATTCATTAACAAGGTCATCCAACATGCAGTTGCCAATCATCTAAGTAAACTACCACGGACTTTTGGTGTTACGTGGTCATTCAGCCTTTCATTATATATCATTAGGACCTCCATAAAACTGATAATATTCAGTGGCAAAGATATGAAAATGTTCAGAAAATCTAAAAGGGGATGAGTACTTTTTCACAGAACTGTATTATAGCCAGTAATATTCAAGCATATAATTTTTTTAAAATAATGTGATTTGATTCTAATTTAAGTACTAAATTCTTCTTTAATGGATTCAAATCCTGTATAAGAAATAATCCCATTATGAGTTCTTACATTATATTAAGTCATAATGTGATGCAGGTGGCTTTGGTTTAGCACCATGTGTGAACCTAATCACAGTGGATTGTAAAATCTGATCTATGGCTTAGTGTAACATTTGAATCCAGCCAATTATGGTATATTCAAGAAACCAGTAAGAAAATCTTAGTCTTGTCAACATTATATAGCCATAACTTGCTGGATCTTGGGCAAAGGATACTTCCCATTTATTATCTGAAAATTAGAGTTTTAACTAGAGATGCCATTTTGGAATGAACATGTCCATTGTGTTCTAGCCAGCAAACCAGAGTTTTAGAAAATAATAATTTAGATCAAAGCATATAAACCCCTTAGTAACTACTTCTTCAGATTGATGGCTTTTTGATCTCTAAAGTCCTCTGATCTGTGCCTATCGGTGAAGTTCATGGACTAGCTGGAAAGCAAGAACTCTAATCCTGCTGGTGGAATTCTAGCTCAGTCCTATATTTTTTATTAAAGGGTTGCTTTTTATGGATACTTACAAAGTTCATTAAATTTAATGATGATTTACTGAACATGCCTATGGTTGGGCTGAAAGTTCCTGACCTTTTTCATTCCTAACTTTAAAATTTAATCTCTTAAGGGTGCCAACACCTGGCTAATCGCAAAAAAGCTAACGAAAGTCGGAAAGTAACTACTGTCAACTTTAACTGCTGAAATCCTGGAAGAAGGCACATATCACAGGACTTCTCTACTTTCCCAGAAAGGTACATGGACATGCTCATAATCAGCGGGAATCGAACTCGATCCCACGGAGCCCTTACATTTTGTTATCACACACTGATGGTAACTCCGACCTTCTCTTTTGGCGCTATGAACATTCAACAGCTGAACATTTACTAACCTGACACTGACAACCTCAAAGGTTTACCTACAAGCTATTTCGGGAAGGAGAGGAACCTTTTGTCTTCTTCCGCTCCCATCTGCAAACCCTTCGGCATCACATTTCTTTATCAATGCGCAGGCGCAACTCGCACACTCCATTTCTGCCCCGGAAGTCGCTTTGTCGCATTTCTCTACTTCCTCTGCGACCCCGGAAACAATAGGACCTTCTGATTGTTGTTGGGACTGTTTCCCTGTCTTCTCAAAGAGAGCGAGTGTTTAAGGGAGGTGACGGATTTGCCTCGGTCCTGTCCGCGGTTGAAGGGAAGGACGGAAAAATACGTTATCTCATTAGGGAGAAGCTCGTCCTTTTTTTTCTTCGCAGAACAGACCCAACCCCGATTTATTGCTTTGCCTTCCTCTTTCGCTAGTTGCCAGAAGTCAGTTTAATACTGTTTTCTTTCTGATTCGACCTAACGTCGGCAGCGCTTAATGTTTTCAGTGCCTCTCAAATCATTCTTGCTTCCCTGCAGGGTTTAGTCCGTTCGCTCGGCGTTCCTACCATGCTAGATTTCAGCTGCTTTGATCCCTAGCCTCTTTTGTGTCAGCAGCACAAAGAAAATGTCATGGTTACAGTCTGCAGTCAGCCAGTGCAATGAAGATGTATTTGATGAAAATGCAGATGAAATGGACATAGCCCAGAAAGAATGGAAGAGTGCAATGGAGAAACGAGTCAAGGTAATTGTAGGCAGGGTGCCTCTTTAATATTGGTTGATGTGATTGCCTCTTCTCTACCGTTCTGATATTAACTTGGATGCAAATAGAATGCTGGTGGTAATTCCTGGTAGGAATCAGGAGAGTCCTGACCTGCAAGCCTTCGTTCTCTCTTTAGAGGGGTTCTTCTTAAAAAATTAGCTGCTTGGTGGCTAGGATTTACCTTACCTTGGTAGAATTGAACTTTGGAGATGTATTCTGTGTCCATGTTGGTAATGCCCTTATAGAATAAAACTGATCTTGTAATCAACAAGAATAGTTATAGAGCCATTACCACATGGTTGAGCCTTCTTTAAAATAAAGTGCTGTGAATCAGGCTCTGAAGTTAAGATTCATTTGCTCTCTCTCCTTTTTTTATAATCATTTGGAAGTATACATTTTTGTTTAGCTGTTTTACTTGTTTATTTTAGTTGGTGCTGTATTTAAATAATGCAAACACTAATAAATTGTACTTTATTTCTTTTGCCTAAAGGAGGGCTACAGGGAAGGCATTGAAGCTGGAAAAGTGCTGACACTTCAACAAGGCTTCAATCAGGGTTATAAAGAAGCAGTAAAGGTGATGTTTGAGTATGGCCAGCTCAAAGGAACCATAAGGTATGTTGTAAAAATAAAGATAAGCCCCCAGATAGAGCAATCTGATTCACAGTGAGTTTTATTAAATGAACAACTATCATCTTTTCATGGCCTGAATAACTTGGAACCAATCTTTGGCAAGGTCAGTCTAAGACACGCCTCTGTAGTTTGCAGGGTGGGAGGCGGAAAATGTAGTAAATTGGAACCACTAGGTGACGCTAAGGGTTTCTTTACCACAGGGGGTACTAGGGCTTTTGTTCAAAGGATAGCCTGACTCTCTCACTCATTTTCTAGAAAGCAGATTCCATTCTGAAATGTTTATTGATACAATGGTGATTTCTTGATCCACACTCTATTTTAGCATTTTAAAAGTGAACATTTTGTTTTGTTGTTTCAAATATCCACATTGTAGTGCTCTTCTGTCTTGGTGTCATCAAAATAAACACAGCCCTGCAATGCTGAGTGAGATGACTGATCTGTTGAATCAATTAAGGAAATATGAAGAATACGTGCTTAAGAATTTAAATTGTGTAAACCCACAACCCCATGTTGGAGACTTGCTAGATACTCTTAATGACATGGATCTTGCTCATGAATGCATCCCTGTTGAACAACATAATGGAACCTGTGCTGAATTTAGTACAAACTGTTGCAGAGATAATGGAACAGATTCATTTCAAGGTGAATGCTGTGGAAGGACAGAAGGTCACAAAGCTTCTGAAAGGGCAACCCTTTCTCGGTTAAAAGAAAGAACTGCCAGTATGATGGAACAACTTGGTTTGTCTCCAGACATACTTGAACATACATAGTTCTTGAAAAATAAATGTGTTACTTTAAATTTATTTGTAATGCCCTTTTCTTCCAAGAATAAAATGTTTTTCTATATGTAGTTGGCAGAGTACATACCTTCTATGCATCCTTTAAGGATGATTGAATTATCACTGCAAGTGTATCAGTCAAACTGAAAATAAGATACATTTTAACATTGTTACTGACCTCATATTAAAAATAAGCTGTGCGCAATACATACCTCAAATAGAGTAGATACTAACTGATGAGAACAAGTGTGTAACATTGAAAGTTAATCTGAAGGGTGTCCAGGGAAACTGAATTATATTTTGTGAATTCTGCATGTTCA